AGCAGAGGTGTTCTGCTCCAACAGGGTGCGCAGGGGGATTACCCAATAGCGATAGCCTTAGAGGGCGAAGCCATATACGAAATAGAACGCTACGAGACGGAATTCCCTCCTAATTCTGTCCTACGCTCCCAAAAGGTGAGGGACCTGAAAGGACAGCTAAATGCACAGCAGTCCATTTTCACCAGGCCCAACAACAAGAGCAAGGCTGCTACCATAGCATCTTATCGTGTCAGTCACGTTTTGCGAAACACATGAAGTCTTTCAAAGACGGCGAAGTTGTGAAAGAAGCATTCCTGGAGGCTGCCGATGCGCTTTTTGGGGACAGTAAAAATAACAGTAGCATTTCAACAGGTTTTTGATATAATAAAAACTCAAGTTAGATACCGTCAGCTGTAAGTTTTAGTTTAGAACTTATTCATTATAATTATTGTACAAAATGGTATAAGAATGCAAACTTTAAGATCTGTTCTGTTTAAATTGATTATAGTCTATTATCAATTCAGAAACTAGTGTTGCTTGCATCCTATTTTAAAGGCATTTCTTTTTATACTCTACTAAAATGCAAAAAAAAGAAAAGGGTTTGATTCTATTAATTTTGTCTTTTTTATTGCACTTTGGCAGCAGATTCCTGTGTAGCTTCAGATCTGAGTTGTCTTATTAGTAAAACTAATTTATACTTTTGTAGCAACACTATTTTTATATAATGGCAAAGAAAGGGTTCAGTCTTTTCTTTTTTTCCTGTATCATATGTGGCAGCACTGTTCAATGTTTCTTGAAAACATTACCCACTGTAGTATGTGACATGTGAATAAACTCCTACTCTGTATCAACAACACTGTTGTGTAACTTCAGTTAAATACTTGTGTGTGTGTAGATTAGAAAGAGGTAAGATAAAGGATCTGCAGTATTTTATGAAGTATTAATCGTACAAAGGTCAGTTTTATACAAGTAGAAGTGTGTATTTACCCGGTAGTAGGCTGTCAGTAATGGCTACACCTCTCTATTTGGACTGGTAGATCTCGGCAGACTGGCAACTTTAAAAGTAGCTCTCGGTTCAAAAAAGGTTGGGCACCCCTGATCTACACTGTCAAGGTTCAAGGTTCTTTATTGTCAAACTAACACAGCTACAGAGTAATTATGTTGTTGAAAATCTTATGTCACAGGCTTCTCCAACAATGCAACTGAAAGAGGACCAGAAACACATTAAAAATATAATAAAATGTGGAGACTTTGGGATATTTATCTCCCATTCTTTTACTTTTCGGGCATTTTACAGACCAAACATGTCGTTGATGTCACTGTTTAGTGTTTACCAAACTACCACTTTTTCTGAAAAATGCATAAAATGATGCAATATATGTTAAATACATGGTTTATACATGTAATTACTGGGGTTCTGATTACCTAATTTGGGCGTGCACATTTGCCGCACGCAAACCTACCTCTTTTGGATTTGGAAAGGTTGGCATGTATGCTGTATAGTATGTGTATTCAGCAGTATTCACTCTCTGTGCAAAACGGCTTGATTGTGCTCCTGCCCCCCCCTCCCTGTGAGCCTAGTGTGCTCCGATTGGTCAGCTCGGCCACTCTGTTCTGATTAGTCAACCACCAGAGAGGCTCCGCCCATGTCTAACACTGTGTTTTCGGCTCTGAGCATCAGTTTTCAAATGGCGTCAGTACAGTCGTACATGTTTGAACCGGAGTCCGATCCTGAAAGTGAGACGGACCGTGATGGACCTGATCCACCGTCCCAAACTAGACTGGAGCAGGCGGTTTCACAGTGGAAAGTTTTAATTTTGTATAGCTCTTCATGGGCGTAGGAAGCATCCTGAATGTGGGGGGGGACATTTTTAACGGGGGTGTGGGGGCGAAAAAAAATATAGATTTCCTGTATTCTGGTGCATTTTAACAGGTGGTTTGATACTTTTATGTGGCTATACTAGCATGAGGAAAATGATGGGTACATTTTGTAATTTCAGTAGTAAAGAAAGGAAACATATTTGATTATTAATTCAGAGCTGTCTTTGAATTAATAAAAAGCAGTTTAAATGCCCATTTTTTGTACATTTATATACAACAATAAATATTTGTGAGTGCATTGAGAGATATTGTTGTGGAGTCATTTATATATAAATCGCAAAATACATTTGTGAATCCTTCTGTGAGCATTTATTAATATTGAGACTGATCTGACTCCATACGGATGTTAAGTTCACCTAGGAATGGTATCATTGACTTAAATGTTCAAATAAATGTTGCTCTTCTGTCTATATTGGTCATATGATGCCCCTTGACTGAAATGTTTCCTGTTCAATATCCCCACTGATTTCCTTAAAATCCTGGGATGAGAGTCCACATCACAATTTACTGTCATTTCCCTTTCATCACTCACCTCAGCAATGGACCTCTCTCCACTGTCCCTGTATTCTGCCTCTGACTCACTCTCAAGTGCCTAGATGTCAAGAGAGGTGGTGAAGTGATAATAAATACTGATAAATACTAGTAACCTGGCATTTCGATGCCTTTTCTCATCTAAACTATTCAGTATTTGTATCTCTCTATCATGACATAAAGACGAAACTCCTCTCCAGAAGTGAGACGCTGCCATCACTGTTAACTGATTAACTGCTACCAGCTGATGACTTACTTTCCTCTTCTTTGAAAAAAATGTTCTTATGTCCATGTTGTCTGGGGGAGAAAACATATCAAACCAAGAGATCGTCAGCTTTGATTTTCGCTGTATTAACCATTTCCTGAACATTTGGTGTGTGTGCCTTACCTCCGCTACCGGCATCGCTTCATACAACAGATCTGAGCTGTCCAACTATGACAACACTCCTTGAACATGCGCGCGCTATGTGAGAATCTGCCTTGGTACAAAGTAGCAGTGAAAACATGGTACGGAGTTTCATTGATTTGGGCATTCTCTCAATAAGCAAGTGGAATGGATTTCATTTGATAGTGAAGCACTGACACAGCGCTCTACAAAGTGCAGCGAGTGGATAGATCGATTCACGGACTTTCCGCATAGTAAAAGTGGGGGGGTCTAAACTAATCATTTGAAAAAGTGGGGGGGACTTGTCCCACCCTCATATAATGGCTGCGACGCCCATGCTCTTACATTTCAGATGTAATGTTAGAACTGCATCATTTATCTACAACAAGTTTGTTTCGCTGACTAACCAAACTGTACCTACAACTGCTGTTATATAGGTGCACGTGTGGAAACTGCGCAGTCATGCCAACCGAAGTGGAAAACGTCTGTTGCAGGGAAATTAGAAAGGTAACAGACATACTTTTCGCGGGAGACTCCCGATTTCATAGCCCTCTCCCGGTTTCCTCCCGGGGTCATATTTCTCCCGCATTTCTCCCGATTTCTGACAAAATCAGATTTACCCTGGACTGTTTCCACTCGGACTTTAATACAGCTACACCATTGTTTGGTTTCCATGGTAGCGCATCTCTTTAGTAATGCTCCCGATTTCCGAGGTCTCAAGGTTGGCAAGTATGGTGACCAGTGGCGTCGCCTGGCCTGGGCATCCGGGGCTTTAGCCCCGGATGTTTTTTCTGTAGCCCCGGACAATTCTCCCTCAATAATATAATACATTAACCGTGCTTTACGTGAACCTCATCATGACACAAGAGAGGACGGCAGCACTGTAATTTCCCGTGTTCATTGAATGCAACAGAGGCATGACACCAGACCAATCAGAGAGTTGCATGGAAATAAACGTGTGCTTGTGTCATTCAAGCTCGGCTCTGTGTGTGTGTGTGGCAATAGCGCACAGTGATAGAGAGAGAGAGAGAGGGAGGGGTGTTGTTAGCATCTGGTTAGCTAGCTGCACTAACGGACACATGGAGCTGTTTGTTCCACAAGAAGCTGGAGGAGAGTCCTCTCCTCTCAGACTGAGAGACTCAGGTGAGCTAAAGGACTCTCTGAGTGTTTAGATAGTTAACTTTAGTAAGTTATCTCAGTGGGTCTCAAACGGTTTGGTCACAAATTATTCAAAAGATTATTTCCGCGGCACACCTTCATATGATCATTATAGTTATAAAAAAAATAAGAGAATAAAGGAAAAACAGTTATGAAATACTATATGGCAGTAAAACAAGAATAGAGTTTAAAAGGGGAGTGATTAGTAAAATATCCATAAAGAAAAAGTACATCTGTTTACAGTTCTGCTTCATATGGGTGTTGAGAGAGGTATCCATAGGTCTCTTCATTTTGCTCTCAAAGTTCACCAGATTGATGCATCTAACTTCAATATTTAAAAAAAAATCTTCCCGGGGGAGCATCCCCCCAGACCCCCCTAGAGGAGGTGAGCCCCCCACTCATAAAAAATACCACTTTACCCCTGCCTATATGCCGTGAGCTGATTATCGAGCCTTCATTGTAACAGTCGCGGGTGTACTGTGTGTGTGCGTGTGGGGAGTGTTGCAGTGAAAAATGCCACTGTAGTGCCGCCGCCACTGTGGGCTAAGCCCCGAATGTTTTCAGGTCCAGGCGACGCCCCTGATGGTGACAGATACAACAAAAACACCAACAGTAGCACACAACATTATATACACCATAGGCCTACATACTTGTCAAGTCAATAGACTATTATATGCCCTTTTATTTATTCTATAGTAATTGAATGTTTATTTTGTAAACCTCGCCATATTTGGAGTTAATTGCTAAACGTGTTATGTTCCAAATATCTTATCTTCCTATAGGTTGCAACACGAATGATGCAAGTCCCAGAACCTATTGGTTGACCACCCCGGACTAGAGCCAAACTGTTTCAATCCATACACCCTGCAGAACCTCCATAACATTTATAGGTTTGATTATGGACCTTTGAGGCGTAGAACAGAAGGAGTGTAAGTTATTTTTACCTGTAATAAACTACTACTGTATTTGATGAAAAATCAAATCATGGTTTGCTATATATGAATGATATGCTATCTAGGAGCAAATCCTTCAGGGAAGAAAGGCTACCAAGTATTTCTATCAAACTTTATTTCTAGAAATGTACAAAATGATGATTGATATACATATATACACTGTATAAGATAAGATGGACCTGTGGGGAAAATCAGTTTTTCAAGCAGCCAGAGGGTAAGGGTGAAAAACAGGACAGCACATATATCTTATCATCCATTCCTCCTCTATAGGCGTTTTCGGCATCTTGCCTATCGCAGCTTTGTAAGCTGGTGCTGGGGCTTCTTAGGACAAGGCATCAGAGTGGTCATCCCGTCATGTGTTGTCCGCCGGATACGCCGGGAGTTTCCTGATCTGGCAGGACAGTATGTTGGCTTCCGACCGCCCCTTGACTAAAACGTGAGACATGGCGGGCTACCACTTCCTCCTTTGAGGGCCTGTCAAATTGAGTGGACAGGTCCTTTGGGATGGGGATTTTATTCATCTCCTCCACAAAGGGTGTTGGATCCTCAAATACTTCCTCAAACACCAGCCTCATCAGCTCACCCACGTACACTGAAAAATATAACATTCATATAATAATTTATTATTTGTATTTTTCTTTTATTCTTTCATTGTACATATAATTCAGTGTGGCTATCTCTCTAGGTCGTCCTCAGACGAGCCCTCCATCGTTGCTTCCAGTCATCCCGGTTCTCCATATATCTGGCCAGTTCATTGGTACTTTGTGCAATAATCATTTAAAATGTAAGTTATGTTTTTAATAAAAACTAAAATATTTGACAACTTACTCTATGTAGGGTCCTTCTTTACAGGCTTTGCGGTACATTCTCCCCTCCTTGCTTTTGGATAGGCCAATTTGTACACAGGTAGTCCTGCAGCTGTTGTGGCTTGCTCACGGTCAGCATTCTCATTGTGATGCATGGCTGCTAGACACAACCTATAGAATAGCAAAATAAAATGAGACTTTGTGTTATGACAGAATAAAACCCTCATGCCACTAAACAGTGACTGTGTTATAAGATGCTACAGAATAAATTATACAGTGTATTACCTGCACAACATTCCCATGAAGGGGAAAACCACATTTTTGGGGGCAAAACGCAGAATCAAGCTGTGGAACGACTCCAGCGATGAGGTCTGGTAGTGATGGCTTAGCTTTTTCACATCTTTGAGAACTCTCGTGTTGTTGAGTATTTTCTCAACTTTGTGGAGTGTTATTGAATCTTGAGTGAAATTACAAAAACATCAACATCCCATTAGAACATTACAACTATCATTTTCCATAACAACAATGTTATATTTACATTCAATATTGTTGATATTATGAAGGAAGTGAAGTGTTTTTAAATTTCTCACTTGTTATTTCCAATTGTTTTATAAATATTGAACTTACCAGGTTTTAGCCATTTATTTGCATCTGTTGTGGCTCTTTCAGAATGTTCACACTTGGGGAATAGGGGGTCGTCGTGCACGTGAATGTTTTGTAGGTGGTTGACGACTGACGTCCACCTTGCCACCTTCTCCGGCCCCGAGGTTGTGCTCGTCGCACTCCAGTATACATGTTTTTTTATGCTGTGCAGCCACCTCTTCAACAACTTGCAGTCCTTGTTCTGTGAAAGTTTCACAAGTTTCTTGGACAAACCTGATAAAAAGAAAACACATGCACAAGTGAATATTCAAGCCATAGTGTGTAAATGATGTGCTGTGATGGACAATATTCAAGGGTGTGGTGGAAAGAAGGGTGGGGGCAGACAATTGCCTGACAATGGTCAGGGACACACCCTTCTGTCTGAAAGCATTTAATAGCCAGCCCAGGAAACCCCCATACATATTCATATACACATCACTGTAAATTCCCATTCTAAAGAGTACTCACATTATCCTAAGAGTAGTGAGTGAAATTGAATTTACAATGACAAAAGGGGCTGTGATCAAGTGGTCTGGCAGACAGTTTACAATAACAGAGGAAAAACCAGATTAGAGGGACAAATTGTAGGGGGATATAAATCATGTATCTATCCAGACATGATGTCATGTCTGCTGCTGATTAGAAGCTCAGGATAAATTGCATAGTAAAACAAAGGAATATCTGAACAAAGGACAGTGTCTCTGATTTTGTATTCTTCCATTCAAACATATAGGGATAAATACCTTTTTCAAAGTGCCACACATCATAGAATTGTTCTATGTTGCGTTCCCTCAGAAACTTCTGGATTTGTGGATGACGGTCAGTCACAATGTACTCAACCGCCAAATTGTTTGACTCCAGATGATCTAGGCATCTTTTGAGTCCCTCCTTTTCCATGTGGTAACTACCACCTACTTCATTGCTCTGTTGGTGAATAAGAAATAGGGCATAAATACACTGAAACATGCATCAACAGCAGTGACGTGCGGTGAGGTTCATGGCTGGTGAGGCACTGACTCTTTCAGTCAGATTTACAAATATTATAGCCTATTTTGACCTTAATCGAAATATTCTGTTATTTTCAAAAGCTTTTTTAGTCTGATGCTATGATTAATTTTAAACAGACCGATCAACAAAAGGATACCCAAAATCTAAATATTGGATTGTTCTTTCTAAGTAAGATCCCATTTTAATTACAGTTGTGGTCTTACCTTGACTTGAAGATGAAGTCCATGCTATCCTTCTGGACAACAATCTCTATTACTGTTTTGTAAAAGTCCTCCGTATCTTCCTGTAGTTTCAAAAGTTTTGTTTGTTGTTTGCGGTAGAATAACAGTAGCAACAAGAACCTGTGGGCTCACGTGCGCCCCCTTCAGTGCGGCAGAGGTTATGGCTGCCTCCCCATGTAATTGTTTCATTGCCGTTGTATGATAAGACCAGCGAGCCTAAATATGATATATACGTGAAATAAGTTATTTAGAGACTATGGATGGCGAGGATAAATGTAATAAAGGGATCTACAAACATCACATTGGTGACCTACAGTGAGATGGTAACAGGCATGCGCTTAGGGCCCGCTTTCCAGCCAGTTTCTGTGGGGTGATGCATTCTGAATTGAGGCAGAGCTCATCTGTGCCTCCCCTCAGAATGCGTCACCCCACAGTAAATGGCTTGAGCGCGCTCACAAAATAAGTGGCCCCGCTAAATTAGTGCCCGCGCTCCAGCAAGTTACTGTGGGCTTACGTGAGGCAATGCTCGTGCTTGCCTCACTTCTCATCGCTCCCGTAGCGGAGCTCGGCAAATTTGCTGATTTTGACTATAAAATGCGATTGGAATCATACAGAAATCACATTTACACAAGATCAGTGGAGACATTTTATTATTATTATTATTTAGTTTTTCTTTAATTGTTTTTCCGTTACATTGGAGTATGACAGGTGAGGCTCTGCCTCCCCTGCCTCCACTGACTGCACGTCGCTGATCAACAGCCAGTAAGCATAAAATGATAACACCCAGAAAGAGATTCACACCTGAACAAGCTGGAAGTCCACAATGGTATTGCTTCCCAGGTGCATGAGTGTGTAGCTTCCGAACTTCGCTGAGTGCCCTGAAGATAATATAATAAAGGAGGTTTCAAAGCTTTTCAACAGAATGTCAATGGATAACTTAGATGAATTGTAATATACACCAGTAACTCTGGCACTAGACTGTCTTGTTTGTTTCCGATTACCTGGAGAGTCTGCTCTCATATCTCCTGCAACTGTGACATTTCCCCCCTGGTGGTGTAGTTGCTGGAAAATCTTCAGCTGATCAGTCTTCCACTTGTGGATAATAGCAGGCTCCAGGTAATTCCTAGCATGCCTCCTGAAGGTCTCATACTGGAAGATCTCCAGCTGCATGGCTCTGAATATCTATGAATACATAGAAAAAGAGGAAACGTTTTTGAAAAAGTCCACTGCTGTCAATTTTAATATGCTATGGATGTTAGATGGTAAAATACCTTTTGTAGTTGGAAGAAGGAATCACCACTGAAGTATGTAGCAGCGGATAATTGTAAGTTGCCAACCGGGGTACTTCCGACGACGGGCTGGCTCTCCCATTGTCTGAGGTAACTGCAGCTTGGACAACGCTGTGTGAACGCCACAAAAGTCCCCAATTTTCGTCTTTGGACATCACAGTCTCTCTTACACACCGGACATTTTTCAAACAGCTGTCCGAGGCAGCTTTCAAACACAATGTACTTTGCATCACTGTGCGTGGATCGTGTCTGAAGTCTAATGTAACAAAACAAAATTAACAATACATGTTAGATTTCCAATATTCTTTTTTTCAACTCTGAAGTACAGTAATAGTAATGTATACCCAATATATCAAACTTACGATACGTCAGATTCTTCTACAAGTACAGAATCATCAGGGTGGTAACTCAAATCCAGAGTCTCTTCAAATTCAGTTGAAGTCTCTCCTTGTTCCTCCTCCAACTCCAGTCGAGGTCTCTTCCTAGGTCCCAGTCCTGGGCCCTTTATTGGTGTAGAGGCCAAGGGGAAATCTGGGTAGGTGGAAGTTTCAGTGCCAACACTTTGGAAAGAAACCGTGGCCTGGATGCCTGTTAATAAAAGGGAAAAATGCATAAATACTTTGTACATTATATAATGCACTAATACATTTTAAAAGGCCAACAACTTGTGTACATCTGACAGTAATTCATGAAATATTTAGAATGAACTACACAAAGCACTGTATTTCCTGTAGTCCACATAACAGTATTTCAGTGATAAACAATAATATCAAATACAGTTTTATTTATAGAGCACATTTAAAAACGATTTTTGTTCGAGCCAAAGTGCTGTACATATAATAAAAGCACAATTAAGGTATCTCAAATGAAAAATACAGTCAATGTCAGTGTTATGTTATACCTTTGCTCCTCACGTGTGCCGACTTCAGTGTTCCCCGGGACAACTGTGTAGCAACTGACACTTTCAATTCCACTGTCTGTGTTCCCACAGACCGTGTCTCAGCCCTCTGTAGAGTTCCCACAGACCGTGTCTCAGCCCTCTGTAGAGTTCCCACAGAAACAGTCTTTGTACGGTCTGTTTGGCATCCGACTGTACTGGAGCGGTGGTGTTTACCGGGGTCCTGCTGTGATGTACTCTAAGAAAGATACAAATAACATTCATAAAATACATTTTGTATCCGATGAAAACAGTCAATTTCCTAAAAGCAACACTTTCTGGGAGACATTCCTAACGAAATGAAGTGCAAATCACAAAATATTATTGAAACTTAGTTGTTTGATTTGTTTCAGCTTGCCAGCTGGATTACAATGCTAATCTACGTTGGCTAGTTGTTCAGTGTAATATGCTATACTATACTATGAACAACAGATAGTGGTTCATATTAGGCTATCAACAACATGTTTACAATTGCAATCTTATATGGGTAGTCTGCTCAAATCATTGTAGCTGGCATGGTCGTTACGCCAGCTATAATGTAATTACGTTTCGCGACTGACCGTACGGTAAATCACCCGGAGAATACTGTCTATGACTATTTCGTGTGTGAATGCAGACATTATCCAGCTATGAGGAACATGTATGTAAAGCGATCTGCTGATATTGGAGTTGATATATGGAAACGCTAGCAACTTAGTTAGCCCAGTTAGCACTATGTCAATCATTTAGGAGTCCGGTTTACACATTTAACCAGTCGTGGTAGATACGTTGTTTGATAAATACACAAATAACAATGCAAACTTACAGGTTGTGTACCCGAATCTTCCCCTACTCCAAACGGTCCAAACAAACTATAGCCTCGTTGTTTGTGTAGCTCGGTAGCATACACGCTCCTTACGCCAACTATAATGTAATTACGTTTCGCGACTGACCGTACGGTAAATCACCAGGAGTATACGGTCTATGACTATTTCGTGTGTGAATGCAGACATTATCCAGCTATGAGGAACATGTATGTAAGGCGATCTGCTGATATTGGAGTTGATATATGGAAACGCTAGCAACTTAGTTAGCCCAGTTAGCACTATGTCAATGATTTAGGAGTCCGGTTTACACATTTAACCAGTCGTGGTAGATACGTTGTTTGATAAATACACAAATAACAATGCAAACTTACAGGTTGTGTACCCGAATCTTCCCCTACTCCAAACGGTCCAAACAAACTATAGCCTCGTTGTTTGTGTAGCTCGGTAGCATACACGCTCCTTACGCCAGCTATAATGTAATTACGTTTCGTGACTGACCATACGGTAAATCACCAGGAGTATACGGTCTATGACTATTTCGTGTGTGAATGCAGACATTATCCAGCTATGAGGAACATGTATGTAAGGCGATCTGCTAATATTGGAGTTGATATATGGAAACGCTAGCAACTTAGTTAGCCCAGTTAGCACTATGTCAATGACTTAGGAGTCCGGTTTACACATTTAACCAGTCGTGGTAGATACGTTGTTTGATAAATACACAAATAACAATGCAAACTTACAGGTTGTGTACCCGAATCTTCCCCTACTCCAAACGGTCCAAACAAACTATAGCCTCGTTGTTTGTGTAGCTCGGTAGCATACATGCTCCTTACGCCAGCTATAATGTAATTACGTTTCGCGACTGACCGTACGGTAAATCACCAGGAGTATACGGTCTATGACTATTTCGTGTGTGAATGCAGACATTATCCAGCTATGAGGAACATGTATGTAAGGCGATCTGCTAATATTGGAGTTGATATATGGAAATGCTAGCAACTTAGTTAGCCCAGTTAGCACTATGTCAATGACTTAGCAGTCCGGTTTACACATTTAAACAGTCGTGGTAGATACCTTGTTTGATAAATACACAAATAAATGCAAACTTACAGGTTGTGTACCCGAATCTTCTCCTGCTCCAAACGGTCCAAACAAACTAGGCATAGCATCGTCCTTCAGTTTCAAATGCTGTGCATATCCGGCCTCAAACTGGGCAATGTTTTGGAAGCTTTCGTCTGTGAAATGCCGGGCACACAGTAACGTTCTTCGAACCTCTGAAGGAACAGTGTTAAACAGAAATTTCAACCACTGACTTCGTCGTGGTTCTTCCGTCGGTAGGACAAACAGCTCAGATTTCTCCTCACATTTCAGGAAACAGGTCCTTGGCATCGGCATGACTGGATCGATTGTGAACTGAACCAGCGCTTCCAACAGTAAATGTTAGGCTGGCAGAGGGTGCGGCCAGCGCCGCTGGGTGTGGCCATAGCTCTTCGGGATTGGTCCATTTCGTTCCGGGTACCGCATGACATCAGGCCGTACCCGGAACTAAATGGAAGACTCAAATGGGCAGTGACGTATCTCCAACGAGGCGTTTTGGGGAGGTATTTTCTGTGTTAGAGTTTTACTCGCTACAGGGTGTACTTTGAGGGTTTTGACTCTGCACAACGTTTACATGCATAAAAACTTTCATAACACACAAGGGGACGGGTAATAACCGGAAAAGCATGACATGGGAGCTTTAAGGCTTGGGTTAGCGTGTAAGCGAGTGGTAGCTACATCGGTGCTAACGATGCTAATCTTAGCCTCCAAGTTAACTTAAAACCATAGACTGTATATATAAAGGTTAAAACTAAATAGACAAGTGTTAAGCGTTAAGTGGGATAATACTGTAGAACAAACGGCTTCTGTTTGAGGTTGATAAAATAAGGTCATCCTTGTAACTTAGAGAGATATTTTATTATGTAGGTAGGAACTGTATGCATCGCTAAGGTTAATTTAAATTGGCTATGCTCAAGTATGTAGACAAGCTAACGTCGAAGTAGTGTATGTGAAATCAACCTCACAATAAGATGTGTGTATATTACAATTATTAATGTCATATTTCAAGATGATTACTTAGATATTACAATATGGTTGGTTGAGCTGGAGTTCATTATTGAGCTTACACATTAACGTCACAGTCATCTGAAGAACGAACCCAAACCTTGTTGTTTTTATTAATTGCATTACCAAATTGGTATCAAATAAACAGTAAGCATTGGTAACACAACTTCCAAAGTTATAGTAAAATAAAAAGGACCCTGACTCGGCCAATACACAATCCAACATGTTCAACAGAAGAGAATCAGTTATATTGTTTGTACACATGGTACTTTACATATATATCTGTTTGTTTAAAGTGTGCAGGTGATGCAGACAGGCTGGACCAGAGAGTGAGAGACAGAACTGGACTCCTCACAGCAGTGAACTTCAGCACAGGTACAAATACTCTTTTTTCATACTGTACAAAGAATCAAGAAAGATATTGGTTTAAATAAATGAAGTATTGACTTTAATACACTGATATACATTCCATTAAACAATACTAAATACTAGATCACCTACACATCAGTGAAGTTGAGGGGTTTTTCCATGCAAAGGGTTACATTTAGATGTTAACAAGCAATATGACTGTCAGCTTTCTAATTTAATGTATTGAAGGCAAAGATATTTAACGCATAGTGAGAACTGCTATTTATCTCTCAATATTGTCTGTAAAAACATGGTAAAAGTGATTCTTTCAGTGAGACAACAGAGCAAGCTTGTTTTAATAACAGTTAAATATTATTTTGATAATAAAATACATTTCAATGTTGATGAATTTCATACTGTTCATTCATAATCTGATTGTCTTTGTAGCTCACTGTTGAAATAAAAAAAAACATTACAATTACAAAATAATTATATCTACAGCCCCTAAACACAAACACACCTCTTTCATAAATAACACACTTGTTCTGCAATAATATGTTTTATGTTTCCTGTAATTCTTGTTAGGAAAGGACATGCCTGAAAGACACGACTCAGCATCTCCTCTTTCTCCGAGGGTCAAGAAAAACATCCAATAGGAAAATTAAAAGCTGATGTTATGAGATGT